ATATCCCAAGCTTAAATTCTTTTTTTAAAATTTTGTTAACGTTTGGGCTATCAAAGTTAAACTTTCTATAAGTTTGAGGTATCAAGTTAAATTTTGTGAACTTTAACGTTTCTTTTGGGCACCAAAAAAAGGTATCAAAGTTAAAAATGAAGTAATTTTGGAGTAACTTTTGGCAAAAGAAAACATTGGTGTATCAATGTTAAAAACAAAGTAACTTTGAGATATTTAAATGCAAAAGATCATATTAAAATACTATCAATGGAGTTAAAGATAACCTTGTTATGGTAATATGCTCTTTTTGTATGGGGTAACCTTGTTATGGTAATATGCTCTTTTTGTATGGGGTTCACATAGCTATAACTTTCCAAGAATCTATTGTGACGCCCCTGCTTTCAGACAAGACTGTAGTCCAAGGTGAACCCAAGGAGGTCAAACCTGTCATGCACCCACACTGTGCAATAACACGTTTCACCATCACAAAAATATCTCTAACGGAATCAAATAATAAGTGTAGGTACAAAACAGACAAATAAAAATAATAATGCAATGAACATGATATAGAGAAGTGATATCCAGATAATCAAAATCATGTTCCAACTGAATAAAATAGAATATTGTGGAATATCTCAATATATAGAGTCAAATGGAATAGTACTAATTAAGACACTCGGCCTTTACAAAATAAAATACACTCTAAATGTCTAAAAATAAACAATAAGTCCGGATTTATCCTGACTGACCACAACCGTATCCATTTAGAAAGCGGATATGGTAATGAAAAATTAAAACCGGTCTTATACGGTTTCTAAAACGGTTACGGTTTTGTTTTTTTATCCGGATATGGTTTCGGATAAGGTTATCAGGTCAATCCTAAGGGGTCAACTGGTTCTCGAACACCATAGCTAATAGAAATCTCACCCAGTTGCCTTAAATTTAAAGAATCATATCATACTCCCTTTAAAAGAGGGAGTTGTGGAAAAACTTTTCATGGACTATATTGCCCCTATTCTTTTTTCATATTATATTCTAATCATAAATTAACTAAATTAATTATCATTATTAATTAATCATATTACTTTTCACTTTAATTTTGTCTAACTTGACCCTAAAACTTTCAATATTATTGTAAAACTCTCATATTAATTATTAATAATGTATAATACTATATTGATAGACAATTGCAAGTTAATAAATTATTTTGGAATGGATATAAAATATAGAATTGTCCTAAAATTATATCGTGGCACTCACATAGGAAAAGTATAAAGAGTATTCTTGCGTACATAAGTAAAAACATGCAATTTTAGAAAATATTAGGATATCTAAGTGCATTAAGATATAAGTGGAGGTATATGAGTGTAACTTCCGCAAGTTGTAAGCTATTTATGTTTAAGTAAGCCTATAAAGATTTGATTCCTTTGTTAAACACAAGCAATAGTATGTGATCCCTTTGATATATAATATATATCATATAATATGAGGTAAGAGGTTTAGCTTATATTTATATAGTACAGAAGATGTGGAAAATTTTAAGCATCATATTTTGAATAATTCTTAAGATTTTGAATTATAAATAAAATTATATACTTTGCTTAGAATCATATCATATCATACTCCCTTTAAAAGAGGAAGTTATAGAAAAAACTTTCTATGGACTATATTACCCCTATTTTTTGAATATTATATTTTAATTCTAACTAAACTAAATTAATTATTATTGTTAATTAATCATATTATATGCCACTTTAAGTTTGTCTTGGTCCCTAAAACTTCCAATGTTATTGTAAAACTCTCATATTAATTATTAGTATTGTCTAATAATATATTAATAGACAATTACATGTTAATAAATTATTAATGGAAATAGTAGAAAAATATAGAATTATCCTAAAATTATCATTATATTCATATAGGAAAATTATAAATGTATTCTTGCGTATAGAAGGTACAGACATGCAATTTTAAAAAAATTAGGATATTTAAGTGCAGAAAGATACAAGTGGAGGTATGTAATTGAAATTTTTATAAACTGAAAGATATTTAATTTAATTAAGCGAATAAAGATTTAAAACCTTTGTTAACCAAAAGCAATAGCATGTGATCCCTTTGATAAATAATATTCATCATATAATATGAGGCCAGAGGGTTAGCTTATATTTATATATTCATCATATAATATGAGGCCAGAGGGTTAGCTTATATTTATATACTAGAGGAAATATGGAAAAATTAAAGCATCATATTTTGAATAATCTTAAGTATATACTAGAGGAAATATGGAAAAATTAAAGCATCATATTTTGAATAATCTTAAGATTTTGAATTATTTTTGAATTTGTATACTTTACTTAGAAAACTTTAGAAGAGGCTTTCGAATGACTACTACAAAGTGTTGGACATCATATAAATAATGGACAAATAAAATCCATGATATTGGATTGCAATAACCGGGGTTAAGTAAAAAATATATGGGTGTCATATGAGATAATGCTTATACATAATATAATATTTTAATCTATAATCTCAGATATTGATGAATTTTCAACATAAGAATTTGTGTCAATATATATGCTTGAGATTTGGGAGAGTTGAGAGTGGAGAGATTTGGGATATGAATTATGGCTTTTGTGACTTGTGTTTTAGTTTTGATTTCCAAACACGAGCTAATGCCAAGCCCACAATCAAATTAAAAATGACTCAATTTTATTATACCATCCAATATTTTCGATAATGATCGATATATGAGAAAAAATCCCCAAAAAATAGTAATATAAAACCATAAATATTATTAAGATAAAGTACTTAACCTTTGATATCAGTCGATAGAGCGATATAATGGTCAATTTTTCATACATTGCCTATAAGAGCAATATTTAAAGGTAATTTAGATATCATTTCATTGATTTTAAATCTCCAATAATTCTACATTATTCCCTTAAAATTTTAAAATTGCTTATAATTTAGGTACTAATATAGAATTATAAAATATTTGAGCTAAATTTAAAAGAATAGTTAATTCTTTGAAAACTCTCTCAAGTATGGGGAAGTTTCAAAAAAGCCACTCAACTAATTAATTTAATTTGACAGAGCCTCCTAACTATAGAGGTGTTGTAGATAACCCCTCTCCATTTTAGTGCAATTTTAGAAAACACCCTTCGACTTAGCTTGTCTTATAAAAACTCTTCTGGTCTTTTACACGTCTCTTAACAAGCCCCCTTAATATAAAAGACTTTAATAAGCGATTTTGTCAAAATGACCTACTAAAGAAAGCCATTTTAGTTAAAAGAAACTCTCAACTAAAAATAAAAGGATTACGACCAATTTACAAATCTTTTTACCTCTAAATCTTCACTTTTTCTTTCATCTAGCAAAAAACCAAGCTAATTCTTTTATGGTTGTTTTTCTTTCATCTAGCAAAAAACCAAGCTAATTCTTTTATGGTTGAGGGATATTTTGGTCTTTCCAAGTTAAGTACTTATCACATAATGAATATATTTTGGTCTTTCCAAGTTAAGTACTTATCACATAATGAATTCGACTCAATGATATTAGTTTTGAGGGCTTAATTGAAAAATTTTATAGGGTTAAATCAAAATTTTAAAGTTGAGATAGATTAACTATAACACCCTAAATTTGATGAACAAACATTTACTCATTTCAAGTAGTTGAGGGGGGGTTACATTTCCCCCATAGTTGAGGGGAAGTTTTCTAAAATTAACCCTTAAACAAAGCACAATTTAAGACACATGCGATATCAATCTTATAAGAGTGGATTTTATAGCAAGTCTATCAGTATCTCTGAAAATCTTTTGCTATAAAATTCGAAGAGAGAAATTTAATCTTTATATGGGATGACTATGTGATCCTTATGGTTCTCCATATTTTTTATGATTTGTAATAAATTATTTAACAAAATAAATTAATTTGTTTATTTTATATGTCTCACCTTTATAAAGCATACAGTTTGGATATGAGTGTTATTATATTGTTTTAACTCTTTAGCTTAAATTTTTGGATATTATTCAATATTGGATAGATCTATATTATTTTATTAAAATACAATCCATATGTGTACAAAATATGTTTAAATCATTCTCAAATTATATTTTATAGTTTTCTAAAATTAGAGAGTAATCATTTTGACAAATTAATTAAATAGTTGAGAAGATGTAGGAAGATTATAATATCAGATTTTGGAATTGATCACATAATTTATATTTTCTTTCTTGATTGAATTTGCACATTATAACTTTAAAAATTCTATAGAAAAGTTTTTGAATATCTATAATACTCGGTCGCCAGCTAATAGAAAGTGGAAGTAGACAATAGGTGCAAGTGATTTCTTTATAATTAAACAAAATCCTCTATGACCAGATAAACCTAACATTTTACGTTGATGAATTCAAGATTTATTTTTTATTAATAGTAATAGTTTTTTTTATATATTGGTGCTTACATCATTAATATTTTAAAATTATAATTCCAAATCATTAAATTGCTCTTAGAACATTAATATTTTAAGACTTTAAACCTTACTAATAAGGTAAAGTGTTGAAACCAACAAGATTTTATATATTAAAATATCTGAAACTTTTTAATATATTATGATAATCATAAACTTTTTTACAACTATGTTATAGTAAATACATAAACTAAAAATCAACAATTATAATATTTGACCACGTGCATTCCACCTAGTTAATTGGAAGCGTAGAAGTGGATGAGGAATTTTTACCCTTGGAACTACCTGGATGTTTGCTTCTCTTCATCAGCGAGAGGTGTCTCCATTTAGAAAGCGGATATGGTAAAGAAAAATTAAAACCGATCGGATACGGTTTCTAAAACGGTTACGGTTTTATTTTTTTATCCGGATACGGTTTCGGATAAGGTTATCGGGTCAAAATTGCGGATACGATCCAGATATCCGGATATTTGAAATAGCCATATATAACACTTGTATTGGGTCGGGGTTAACATATACTGATGTTATCCGCATCCGACCCAATATCAACTCAAACCCTAATTCCTCTCTCCAAATCCCACCACCTCCACCAGTCCACCTCCAAGAGCCGCCTCCTACTCTGGCGACCCTGCGCCTCTCCCTCGCTCTCCGCCTCCGCCTCCGCCTCCGCCTCCAAGCTGACGCCAAGTCCCGCTTCGCCTCCTCCGCAGCGTCCCGCTCCAACGCCGCGCCTACTAGATCTCAGATTTTTTGGATCTCAGATTTCCCGTCGGCTTAGGGTTTACATCTCAGATTTTTCGCTCTCTGATCCGGGCTGGCTGGTTCTTCTCCACATCTTAAGCTGGTGCAAGAGCGTCCCTCTCCGCCTCCGCGCCCCACTCCGCCTCCGCCTCCCGCTCAGCCTCATCTTGACGCTCCGAGTATAAAGTAAGGAAAATATCACTCATCTATATAAAGAAGCATTATTGTGCCAATTATAATCATACTCATTTTTGTCATATAGTTACATTCTTCACTCGCAGCTTTCAGCTTAAATTTTGTCCTAAAGTTGTTCTTAAATTTTGTCCTAAAGCTGTTTAGTTTATATATGATCATTTAAATTTATGTTGCTTATATATGAATTTTATTATGGTAAACATGCGCAATTTGTTTAATCTGGCAGGATTACCTGGTGTTCTTTGGGTGTTACCTGATTCTTATCTGGATGTTCCTAACAAGGATCACAGAGGTTAGTAACAGCAAAATACTCAATGCATTTGTATAGTTTTTGGAAGTACCTAACTTCAAATTTGGTCATTTATCTCAATTTTCTTTTAAAAATCATATTTCATCCTTTGAAATAGGTATTATTCTTAGTAAAGGTTTATTATGGAACAGATTTTTTTCCCTCGATTAAGCGTCTCCATGATTCGGCCTCAATTGGGATTTTCGCACCGGAACCTCATTCGAAGAGTTCACAAGTACTCCTCTGCTGCTCTTTCGACAATTCGAGATGACCCCTTGGTCGATTCCGTAGAGAGAACTAGCAAAACTTCACAGGTTAACCAGTTCAGCTTTTGCACTGTGAGAAGCCCGACCCTTTTCCCTTACATCGCTGTCTTTGTGAAAACTTTGAATCATGATATTTTCTGTGAGATGAAATTTGCAAATGTGGTGGATATATATGGCATTTCTCATGCATTAGAGTCATTCTCAATGCTGGTTGGGATTTTCTCGCTGGTGAAAATGCGTAGAGAAGTCAGGCATTTGCTTCTTGATGTGATGGTTTTTGACAAGGGATTGCTTTCTGAAGTTGTGAGATTTTCTAGTGGTTCAATTACGCCGTTGCAAGCCTATGGAGATCTGATAAAAGCTCTCGTGGACAATTCAATGATTGAGGATGCGCTAGAATTTTGTTTGGAGGCTATGGAAATTGGGCTTGAAATGGGCGTCCCTCTGTGCAATTCTTTGCTCAAGTGTTTCGTCGAGAGGAATAATGTTGGGGTTGTCAGGAGTTTGTTTGAGTATATGAAGGTGCTGGGGCCATCACCAAACATTTACACTTATACTACTATGATGGACTTGTACACTAAAGGCAATACACTGGATGTAGATGAAGCTAACAAGATTCTTGTAGAGATGGAAAATCATGGTGTCAGGCCTAATGCAGTAACATATAGCATGTACCTTCGAGGGCTTTGTAAGATAGGGAAGGTTGAGAGTGCTTGGGAATTTCTTAAGGACTTGCAGCATAGAGGACTTGAGTATGATAACTACTGTTGTAATGCTGTCATTCTTGGTTTTTGCCGTAAAGGGGAGTTGAACAAAGCATTTACAGTATTGGATGAGATGAAGAAGTGTGGCTTATCACCTGATGTTCATAGCTATAGCATCTTGGTCGATGGGTTTTGTAAGGAGGGCAATGTTTCTGAAGTTTGGAATCTCTTTGAGGAAATGCATAGAAGAGAATTAATGCCTAATGTGATCAGGAGAAATGGAAATTGCAATAAAGTTGTTTCGTGAGTTCAGAGATAAGGGCTATGGGAGAGATCTTATGGCCTATAGCATTCTCATTGACGGATGTTGTCAGCATGGTGATATGGATGGTGCACGTGAGCTATGGCATGAAATGATCCAAGACAAGTTCACTCCAGATGTTTTCTGCCATACCAGTCTAATTTACAGCTATTGCCAAAACCAAAAATTGCAGGAAGCTACAGATCAGTTTGAAATCATGCTTAATGATGGTGTGGCGCTCAATATTGTTACTTGCACCATTATTATTGATGGGTTATGCAAGGAAGGGTGTTTTATAGAAGCTTTTCGGTTCTTAAATGAAATGGGGGAGCTGGGTATCAATCCCAATATATTTACTTACACTACAATCATTGATGCGCTATACAAAATTGGAAGTTCTTGTGGTGCATGGGAGATTTTTGGAGTTATGATAAAACGAGCTCTTGTTCCTGATGTAGTTCTATATACCATCCTGATCAATGGTTTAGTCAAAACACTGGACTTGGAGAAAGCTCTTATGATCTATGAAATGATGTCTCAAAGGGGTATAAATCCAAACATTTTTACTTATACAAGTCTCATCAATGGGCTATGCAGCGCTAGAATGCTTCCTACAGCTTTGGGCTTATTTGAGGAAATGAAATGGAAGGGATTCAAGCCTGACAGGGTTCTTTATTCTACGATGATTTCATGTTGCTGCAGATGCGAGGATATGAAGAAAGCTCTGGAATTTGTCAATTCAATGGAGACAGATGGGTTTGAACCTGATGGCATTGTGTACAGTTCGATAATTGCAGGTTATTGCAGGTCCAACAATAAGGAGATTGCTTTGGAACTGTTCTATAAATTGGAGAGACATAAATTCAGACTTGACAGAAGTATGCATACTTCAATAATTGCTGCTTATTGTAGGTGCAATGATATTAAGAAGGCTGTACGATTGTTCAATAGAATGGTGGAAAGTGGTTTAGTACCAGATGTGTATTTGTATACTTGTTTAATAGAGAGATGTAGCAAGTTGTCAGTGATGAGCGTCGCAGAGTTGCTGCTGGCTAAAATGATTATAGTAGGATTCACTCCTAAGGCAATAAATTATACAACTCTTATACATGGATATCGTAAGATGGGTTACTCTGAGAAGGCCTTTGAGTTGCATAAATCTATGCTGACGCAGCTTCCCGAATCTTTACATCAGTAGGCTGGAAAATACCAACAATTAAATCACCTCAGCATATATGTCTGGAATCAGATGGTACTAATTTGCACTCAAATCCAACTGGTTCATTACGGTAAGCAAAGTTTACATCAATGAAATGTACCTTTTTTGACAATTTATAGGTGACTACCCACACACCATGAGAGATGCTGCTTATTTCTAATTTTATAATGTCATGTAGGTGAAAATATAATTTGTCTGAGTTTTTGTTGAAAATCAAAATTCAATTCTAATACAATATATTACAATACTAACTGTTTATATGCAACTAGACTAGTAGAAATTAATTTGCATGGAGATATATAAACAAAAATGGCCTTTATAAGATGGTAACCCTCGCTTGTTTAAAGTTAAATAATTTGCTTTAGGTTTATGCTTTGTTTTCTTCCAAGAGCATTTTAAGATTTTCTTACATGATTATTCTTTTTTTTAATTCTCATCTTAAGTTACTGTTTCTCGATGAAACATATTTCTGCGGCTGCTTTACTGCTGGTTAGTTATAGTGTATAGAAATTTAAAAAAATTAATGTTCCAGCTTCTTGTTCTAATCAATGAATTAGGAGTGACAAGATTCCTTAATCCATATTTAATTCCACCCTTGAGAAATAAAGTTCATCTCACAATCTTCTCTTATTATGATCATTATCTTGCAACTTATTTTTATCTTGCAACTTATTTTTAAAATATTGTTTAAATTGAATTTTTGGAACTTGATTCTGTAAAAACAATGATATCATTCCACATATCATTTATATTTTCTTTCTGTTTTAAGTTCTTGCAGCTATAAGTGAGAGGGAAACTAAGGGTACAAGGCAGTTTTTGGAGAAGAAAGAGGGTAGTCTTCGACGAAAGATGATGAGAAAGAGAGGTAATTTTGCCTGTGGGTCAGTCATTTCCCCAGATTAATATTTAGCTGTATTTTGTTTTTATTTTGAAAGACTCATTTAAATTTTAAAAAAAAACTTTGTATGCTAATGCCCAGGAAACAGCCATTCAGTTCAATAGGTGCAGAACCATGTGGTAATCCGAGGCGACAATTGAAACGATCCTTCCTTAGGTGCATTCTTGTTCTTTCAGAGTAGCAGATCCAAACAAATTTGTCTTTACCAAGAGTGTAGCCAACTCTTTTCTTTTCCTGTGCTTTGGAGTTTATTCCACTTGAACCATATGTTGAACAAGTGGGCAGGCATCTGACTAAGTCTTGGAGAATAACATGGAAAATTCAAGTATTCAAAATGTTGCCAGTAATTGATAAAACTTTTTCTTTTTTCAGGTGGTCTCTTTTACCCATCCATAGCTCAACTTATTCCTTGAATTTCAGTTTCAGTTGATGCAGATTGCCGTGCATCATGAATTTTGTACCGTTCATGGATGTTTCACTGAATCTTTAATCAATGTTCTACATGCACCTTATTGAAAAAGCATCTCAAGCATGAAAATGTGAAATTGTAAAAACAATGGAGGTGAGATTTCATCTCTCTGATCTTGTGATTTGATTCCTTTTTTATTTGATAAGCATTTTTCTTTAGCTGTTTGTGCGTCTCTCTGCAGATCAAGTCAGAGTTTTATAGTTGGACCACCTGCCATTCGTCAGTCAGTTCTTTGGTATGTCATCTTTCTGCCTTCTGGCGTTTTTATCTTTTATTTGGAGATCAGCTTCTTCTCTTTTGAATTAATCTATATCGTTAGGTATCATGTTGCATTCAATGTAAAATATGGTATTAGCAGGTCGTAATACCCAAGGACGTGTTATGATTCATTGAGATTGGTACCTAACACTGCAACGGTTGTCTAAGCATATCCTAAAATCTACGCAGATCAAAGATCGAGCGGCTTGCTAGCTGGTAAGTTGATTCTATGGTGGACCAGCAAGGAGGCTTTGTTCCGTTCTGTTGGTGTTGGTCCCATATGTATGAATAAGCTTTCATAGCTATTGTCCTGATGGAGCTATCATTTGGATATTTCCTGCATGAACCTTGGAATTCATATTTATATCATCCTCGATGAGTTTTACAGATTCATAGCTCCAGTTAGCGGACCACCTCGCCCATCCTTCAGATTCATAGCTCCAGTTGATGGACCACCTCGCCCATCCTTCAACATCTAATGAATTTGAAAGCTCGAGCTTGAGTTACTACCCAGTGATTTTGAAATTGCTTTTGATTGAGCATCAGTTTACGTTTACAACGTGATATTTTTCTTGTAAACAATTAGAGACTGAAAGAATTTCTGATGTTTATTGTGCACCTGTATTATTCCAATTTACACGAGGAAAGTTAATGTTATAGCATACAAGAATCTTTGGACTGATTTGTTCAACCGTTTGAAAATTCCCCCCTTCTTCCTTTCATAGATCACCTGTTTAAAAGTTTAAATCTTTTCAACTGTATGTATATTTTCCTTGGGAGATCCCCTTTCTATTGAGTCCACCGGTATCTCCTAAGGCACAATTTTTTCTGAAAGATCCCTTACGAGCGTCATACTTCTATTTAAATTCAGGACAAATTTTCAAAATCAACCTTTATGGTATTTAAATAGCAAAACCGACCTCATATTACATTATTCAGCAAAACCGATCCTTTTTTTTTAATGGTTGGTTTTGCTGCTGTAAAAATTTTACAAAATACACGGGACTGCTAGTCCCGTGTATTTCGACCCAGCTTTGAAAAACACGGGACTAGCAGTCCTGTGTTTTTTGAAGAGACTTCGGCAGTTTTGAAAAAAAACCCGTGTTTTTTTGCAGCTACAAAAACAAGCGCTTATCTAGTCTCACAAAAAGTTGATGGTGTTGAAGTTGACGTACAAAATATTCTCGAAACTTTGGCGAAAGGTTATGGTGGTCGTGTATCTGTAACTTATCAATTTCAGCAAGCACTCGAGAAATCTATATCGAAAAACTTTAGGGATAATAGCATAATTTGCTGCATGGGTCAGAATACAGACTCTATATACAGGTAAATGTCACAGTTTTACACTACTTCCTGATTCCATAACTCATTTGAGAAACATTGTCAATAAGGTAAATTTCACAAAATCCCCCTGAGCTTTGGCAGATATCTGCACAGAACTCCCTAGCTTTATAAGTCATAGAATCTCCCTGAACTTGTCTCACTGAAGTATCAAGACTGACGACAGTTACTTTAAGTTGTTACGTGCGCTGACAATGTTTGGACAATTTTGATATGTACATTACAAACGTATTTCGGGACAATAGATGGTTTTTGGATTTGTAGCCGAGACTGTGGTGTGACTTATTAGATTCGTAAGTGGGTTTGTGGCGTGATTTGTTGGATTTGGATTCGTAAGTTGTGGCGTGATTTGTTGGATTTGGAATCGTAAGTGGGTTTGTGGCGTGATTTGTTGGATTTGTATGAGTTTGTGGTGTATTTTATGATTTTTAGATTTGATATATGCGTTTATACAGGGAATTGACATGAAATGAAATGGTGTAATTTATGAAACTTGCATTTGAAATATGAGTTTGTACAAGGAATTCCAACAACGCAGCAGAAATATGTGCAAATTTGTGCAAGAAATGCACGGGACTGCTAGTCCCGTGCATTTCATTGTGCCCAGGAAGTGCACGGGACTAGCAGTTTCGTGCACTTGTTTTTGTAGCTGCAAAAAAACACGGGACTGCTAGTCCCGTGTTTTTTCAAAACTGGCGAAGTCTCTACGAAAAAACACGGGACTGCTAGTCCCGTGTTTTTCAAAGCTGGGTCGAAATACACGGGACTAGAAGTCCCGCGTATTTTGTAAAATTTTTACAACAACAAAACCGACCCTTTTCAGAAGAAAAGGGTCGGTTTTGCTGAATAATGTCATATGAGGTCGGTTTTGCTATTTAAAATGCCATAAAGGTTGATTTTGAAAATTTGTCCTTAAATCTATTTTAACGCAGCTAACTTCTGTGCTACGGTTGCATAGTTCAGCAAGAAGAGGTTTGGACAAGAATTGTTACTTTAGGTGGGAAGCAGAGACGAAGATGTACTGTACCAAGAAATAACAGCAAACTGGTCGACAGAGGGGTTATTAACAGGATTTTGAAGTTAAAACATCCCATAAATAGTCCTAAACTTGATCTAGAAGCTTCACTGTCATCGAATAAGTATGAACATCAAAAACATGGCCAGACCCTCAACAAGCCGATAGAGGTCGACAGAGGGGTTATTAACAGGATTTTGAAGTTAAAACATCCCATAAATAGTCCTAAACTTGATCTAGAAGCTTCACTGTCATCGAATAAGTATGAACATCAAAAACATGGCCAGACCCTCAACAAGCCGATAGAAAAAACAGTTAAGCATATCAGCACAAGTTTGATAATGATTGATAATACTTAGAATTCATCGTTGATCCTTCTGTATAAGCTTCAATCATGAGTTGCAGTATGAACACAAGCATGGATAAAAGATGCATTCATTTGCAAAGCCCATCCTTGCATAAGCTTTAATTGGATTCTAAGTTTCTAAGCACTAGCAACTATACTGTCACATTACGGTATACACACACATACATTATATGAAATTGTATCACATATGACCATGCCTCCTTTTACCAGTGTCTGTTCTCATTCTCTTTACAGGCTTGGCCCATTGGGCCTCCGCTTTCACACCTGGTGAAAGCCCACCAGCTCCTCCACTGCCCTGCTGCTGGGCCCACCTTGTCGTCTGCTGACCTGAACCCCTACTTAACGGGGATGCTCGGCCTTGGCTGGAAGGAGATGCTGGCCCCACCCTCCTATCTTGCCTCCTCTTCTTGCAAATAACAAGATCACCAGCATGAGCCAGGGGGCTCTCATCATTCAACTTGGAGGCATGAGGCCAGGTTATTCTTTCTTCTTCATCAGGAGTTGCAGAGGCACTGGTATTAGGCTTGGCTCCAAGTCGATGATTGTTCTCTGGCGCTTGCTTTGGTTGGTAGTAGCAGCAACAGATGGAGATCCTCCGCAGGTTGGAAAAGTAAACGAATTTCTGGAGTCT